AAGACACACTGCCACGAGTGCCCTCAAAGCCCTCTCCATCACGTTGCGCACACTCGTCCCACCGTCCTTGACGCCCTCTGTGGCAGCTCTGGGGCCCTCTTTCCTGAGCGTCTTTGGCCACAGCCTTGGGGCTGCCTCGATGTCCTGAATCGTCACCTTTAGTGGAAATTTCGCCTTTGGAGAAGAGCCAGAGGTCACACGGTGCCGGATGCGGTGGCTGAGGTGGGTGCGGAGGACGCGGCGCCGTGTGTTACGAGCTCCCGTTCCGTGGGCTGGTGCCGCGGCACTCCCCTCTGTTTACCACACTTCGCAGCGAGGGGGGCTTCTGCCGTGCTGCATTTTTGAAATTTAAATATCGCCCGCACAGTCCGCTCACACCTTGTACTAAAAGTCCTGCGGGCGGGGAGAGGCTACACTCCGGAGAACGGAGCACCTGCTTCTCAGCTGCCTCCCTTCTTGGCCAAGCTGCAAAAAAAACTTGCCGTCTCTCGGGGACGCTGGGGCCACTTACTCCGTGTGCCGCCCCGCAGAGGGTTTGCTTAATAACTCACCTGCACCCCGGGCTCTCCGTGGGCGGCGCCTGCTGGAACTGAATTGCTTTTTGGTTCTAAACGCGTGTTCTCAGATAGGTTCTCCATCTTGCATTAGGAGCAAATTGACAGATACGTCAGGTTTGTCCCCGGCACCTCGGCTCTGCAACGCGAATGAATTGGAAGTAAATAAGGTGGGAGCCGGGCTCCCTGCGGTGACGGATGGGATCACTGCTCCGCGGCTGTGAGCCCGAGCTGCTGGTGCCCGCCCCCCCGGAGGGGGCTCTGCTTGGCCGCCTTTGAGACTGTCCCGAGCGGCCTAGCAGCCTGCCCTGTGCGTCCCCCCTCCTCCCTGGTAACTGAGGCGGAAGCGCGGGCGGTAAGAGGAGTGGGACGCACTCTAAACTCCACGTGACCGACGCCCTTAGCCAGGTCCATGCCGGGAAGGCCGCGCCCGGACCCTTGCCGGTCATTTCAGCCGGGATCGCTATCTTTGGTGCTGAGGGTTCCCTGAGGAGACCCTCGCGAGCCCAGCGTCCCACTGGACCATCACTGAGCTACTTCCAATAGACGAGGGGCTGCTGTGGTCGCTCAGAGGGCACGCAAGATGCTGCAGAAAGACTCTCACTTGAGCCCTATAACTGCCAGCTTGGCAGGGGAAAATAGCATTCATATTCACTCTGCCGGCAGGAGTGGCACAAGCTTCAACCAATTAGAACAGACCAGAGGGTAACACCGACCAGTCATAAAGGAGCTGTGGGTCGGGGGTGGGCGTGACCCGGCAGAAATCTGCTGCTGGGTCAGAGGCGGAGAATCAGAGTCCCTCTGGCCTGGACCTCCACGCTCCCATCCGTCCGCAGCAAAGCTCCCCGCAGCCTTGTGGGCCCCCACCCGGACCTCCTGCTGCCCAAGGCAGGCTGAGGGAAGGGATTTTGTCCCGTGGTCCCGACCCCTCACGTCACCCTGAGCCCTCAGCCTTCCTGGCGGGCATCCTCGCGCGGATGCAGGGCCCGATTCCAACCCCTCCTCCCAGGGTCTTGCTCGTGCTCCCTGGGAAGCTGGCCAGGGTCACCTTCCCGGGTCCAGGCCGTCCCTGTAGAGCACTGCGTCCGGGCTCTTTCCATAAGCGCTGCAGGGACGGGAGGCAGGGGCCGCTGGCCGGACAGGCGCTGGAGGGTCAGAGCCAACCAGAGCGCAGAGCCAGGCTTGGAGGCGCTCCCGTCCCAGGTGCGCCTTGGCCAGGGTTGTGGTCAGGAGCACACACACAGCCCTGGGCCGCTGTCCATACCTGGCTGGCCGCCGACACTCACCCGGCCCCGTGCCTCAGTTTCCCCACCACAGGCCGAGGGTGACAAGGCAAGGCCGCGTGTGCAGGCTCTGTGCGTCCACCTGCTTGCTGGGAGTGGCCAGCAGGCTGCGGCTGGACCAGCGTGGCATGGTGTGGCGTGGCCGGGACCCTCCCTCCCCCACCCGGCCCGCCTCCTCCCTCTCCCTCCCTCCCTCCTTCCTCCCTCCCTCCCGCCATTCTTCCTCTTCTTCCTTCTTTTCCCCAAGAGAATTCATAAACCCCAAGACCCACCACTTCACCTCAGTGCGTCTCGGTATCTGCCCAGCTGCCTGCCCATCACCTCCACCCAATTCCAAAACATTTTCACCCCAAGGAAAGCCAGGCCCCAGGCCTCAACCTCCACAGACCGTCCTTTGGCTTGTCTGGTCTGGCCTGCTCTGGACATGTAGTTTGAAGGGAATCCAGGTGTGTGTCCCTTTGTCTCTGGCTTCCATCTCTGAATGTGACACGTCCCCAACCCATCCACGTGGTAGCATGTGTCCTTTTCAGGGCTGAGTCGTACTCCACCTTGCACATACCCAGGCCCACCCTCTCCTCTCCTCCACAGAGACCCTGTGGGCCCTCTCCCGCCCACCCACAGGTAAGTGCCTCACACCCGGCCAGTCGCTTCCTTAATATTCTCTGTCACTTTGCAGACCTGAGTGTCAGGTCTCTCACACTCAGAAGTAACTCTCTGCTCTTTCTTTACTTAAAAATTAAAAATAAAATTTGTCCGGAAAGTGGCCAAGGCAACTTACATTTATGAGGGCAGGTGACGAAGTGTGACTTCTCAGGGGCCTCGGGCTTTGGCAAATCTGAAATGACAGTGATGCAAAGTGCCCGGTGCCACGAATCCTCTCGAGAAAGCACGTGAGGAGGAGGCGGGAGGCCGAGGACAGGAGAGAGGGGCCCGCAGCCCTGTGTGGGCCTCACAACAGTGTCCTGCGTTCCCTGAGGTGGAGACAGCGCTGACCAGCGCCTGCCCCCGTCTGGCAGGGGCACCTCACGGTGCCTGTGGGGCTTCTCGGGGCAGCAAGGGGACTGGGTGACAGGCAGCAGCCGCGCTTCTCCAGAGCAGCCCTGGGGGCAGAACGCGGGAGACAAAGCCTGCTCCCCATGGCCCAGCCCAGGACAAAGGTAGGGTTCTGGCCACCTTGCTGTCAGCTGACCTGCTCTAGACAGGTGTTGGGCTGGGTGTGGTGGTGCACACCTGTGATCCCAGTACTCGGGAGGCTGAGGTAGGAGGATTATGAGTTCGAGGCTAACCTGGACTACAGAGGGAGACCCTGTCTCCAAGAAAGAACGAAAGAGAGAGGAGAGAGGAGAGGAAGGTATTTGGGAGGTGCAACTAGCTACGTAGAACCTGTGCCTGGTACATACACACACACACACACACACACACACACACACATGCGGTGCACACATATTTTTGACTCCTCGCCTTCGATGGCCTTGAATCCTGACCTGGGCTTGCATCCTCCAGAGCGGAGAAACGGCCTTCTGTTGACTCTGAGCCCCGATGTGCGCTGTTCCGCTAGGAGCCTGATGTCCAGATGCAACGGCCAAGAGCGGCTCATGGTGGCGCTAGCCCAGTGTCAGCGCCAGGGAGGCCATGCAGTCCCAAGAGCTGAGGGGGATCGAGGTTCAACAGAAGCTGCTGGCAAAGCACAGAGAAGAAGCCAGGACTCCGGACTTTTACCCCTCACCAGAATAATTAGCCAGGACAGGGGTTTTTAAACACAAAAAAATTCCCATGGGGTCGAGGAAGTCAGTGTTTTCTCTTATCCTTGGCGATTCTGTGGCCATGGAAGCCCTGAAATCGATATGGTCAGTGCAAAATACCTTACGGCCAGCCCGTCTAAATCTTCTGCACTGCAGTTTCCAGAGAGGGAGGGCTGCGGTGAGCTGGCACACGTGCGCACGTGCATGTGTGCGTGCCCGTGCGTGAGAGCAGATGGGAAACTGCCACAATGCCAGGCACGAATCACAGTTAGTCCAAGGGGGAGTGCGCTGCTCTAATGAAGCCGGTGGCCGAGACAGTCCTGCGAGAGCAGCAGGGAAGAATGAACTGCGCACAGTACCTGCACGACCTGGGCCGGACGCGGGACTGCGTGGTGTTCTTGGCATCTGTCACGCTGGCCGTGTGCGCTCAGAGGCAGGCTGGGCTCGCTCCTGTTTGAGGCCTGTTCGCGCTGCTACAGCCTGATGTGAAGGTCAGCGTGGGCTGTGGCAGCTGGGCTCCCGCAGGTAGCGAGGGGACCATTTGGCTCACTGAGAAGTCTTCAGTAACCAGGAAGCTCCTCAGCCAGACCCAGTGTCCCAGCTACTAGAGAGGCTGAGGCAGGAGAATTTCTTGGCCCCGCACTTGAGGCTAGCCTGGGCAACATGGCAAGGCCCCACCTGAAATCCAAAACCAAACAAAATAGTAAAACACCGACTAGTAGCCTCAGGCATCTGGGATAGAAACTCCTGATGCGCTGGCCCTTCAGCTGCAGGCTCTTCTGACGGGGTGACCCTGATCTCCGAGAACTTTTTCTGTGGAATCTGTCCCATGGACATGCATCCCCATGCCAGTCCTCCTCCGGGACCATGGACCCAGCACCAGAGAACTCAGGTCCTAGGCTTCTGACCAGCAAGTGGTTGTGCAGACCTTGTCTGCATCCCTCCAGAAGACAGCTGCTCCCCACTCCCATGGCCCCTGGGTCCCCTTCGCAAAGTCCCTGCAGCCTGCCCTAAAACCCACGAGCTCGAGATGGCTCTGCAAAGTCCCTCTTGCCCTGTCGGGTGACAGCATGAATTTCATTTGGGGAGAGGAGTGAGGGGCGGGGACTTCACGAACTCCCAGGTCACCTGCTCGCTCAGGGTGCCCCGCCCAGGGTCTGCGGTTTGTAGTCCAAGCTCACCCGATGTGGCCCTTCTGCCTGAAAGGACAAACGTTCTCGGCATTGTTAGAAGCTGGGCAGCAGACCTCCAGCGGCTAAGGATGGACCCGGCCCGAGCAGCTCTCTGACTCCATTCCTAGGCGGCATGGCCGTGTGACTTGTGTGAACCAAGCCACCTGCAAGGCCTTAGGGGTCCCCCGGAACCGAAGGGTCCCTGCAGGTCCGGAGTCCCTGTGACGCTGTGTCTGGTTCCCTGTGCAGGACACCGAGCTCCTGAACACGGCCGTCCTCACGGGCAAGACAGTGGCCACGCCCGTCCGGGTGGTGTCGGTGGAGGAGAACGGCGCGGTGACAGACATCTCAGAGCAAGTGGAGTGCGCGTCCGCAGACGAAGATGTCATCAAGGTAAGCGGCCAAGGACAGCGACGGGGGTGGGGACAGGGACAGGGACAGTCTGTGCTGAAGACAGAGGTGACACCCACGACCTCTCATGTCTCTTCTCTTGTCCTGTGGCTGGGGTGTTACTGAGAAGAGTTACACGTCAGCAGGTTTGAGCTGGTGAAGGTTCCCATCGAATTTGCCCCTTGTGTCTGAGGATTAACACATTGTGTGACTGAAACTGAGTCAAGCCAAACATAAGGTGGGTTTTTGGGATTTTTTAGTTGGTTTTGGTTTTGCTTCCTACATATAAGAGATTTCTGGATTCAGGGATGGCTGGATCCAGGAGCTGGAGTGAAGAAGTACTTTATTTCCGGCTCTCTGACTCTCAGCTCAGTGTCCTCTGTGCTGATCGAGTTCTCAGACGAATTGTGCTGTCCTAAGACAGCTGCAAGGAGCTCTCAGACCACATCTTGGCAAGCAAAGATCTAGCAGAAAAAGACAAGTACCTTTTGCCTAGCCTAGGCTGGATTCTTGGTGAGATTCCCTAGTTGGACCAGGTAGCTCAGGTATTCACCTCTAGGCCAATGGCTGTGGCTAAAAGAACATGAAGCTCTGATTGGCTTAGGCCATAGTCACATGACCATGCTTCTCCAGCAGGGGGCGGGGCTTGAGTCAACCCCCTGGGCTGTGGCCAGAAGGGGCAGGTGCTCCGGGAGACCTAGGGCTGTAGCCACCAGGAGTTCCCTGGGGTGACTGCGGGCGGGCCCCTCTCTTCTCCCTTCTGTTTACTCTTTGCCACTCAGGCCTCCCCTGTCCTGGACCATCTCCCACCCTTAATCTGTCCCAAATTACGAAGGGGGCCCGCTGCATCCCCAGCTATGAACAACTTTCCTGGACGACGTCAAAGCCACTGTCTGCCCTGACCTGAGGAAAAAGAGGAAGTGGGGGGCCTGCATGCCTTGCTGCTCAGGCAGGGAGCCGGCTGGGGTTCCCCCAGGGAGGCACTGCCTCAGAAAACACTCGGAGAGAAGCCCTGAAGTGAACACTGTACCGCAGAAAGCAGAAGAGCGAGGGTACCAAACCAGGACGTGGAGCAGGAAGCATCTGCCCCCGATGCTTGAAGCAGCGGGCCACGGTCCCCAGAGGGAGCGTGTGGTCGCTGTAGCCTCTCCTCGGCTGACACCACAGACACAGGGGGTCCCGTACGGGGGCTGCAAACAACCAAAGCCCACCCTCTCACGGTCCCGGGGGCCGGAGATCTGAAATGGGCGTGGACAGGGCCGTGCTGCGTCCTCGGGCTCCGGGGAGGATGGCGTCCTTGTCTCTGGCCTCGTGGCAGCCTCCGCCCTTCCATTCCTCAACTGGTAGACCCCTTTCTCTGACCGTTTCCACCAATCCCCTCCTTGCCTGCCCTGTCCCTTCTCTTCTCCGGAGGGCTGCACCCCAATGAGCTGCATCTGTAAGGACCCTCCTTGCACATAAGGCGGGAGGCTGAGGTTCCAGGCGGACATGGAAGTTTGGTGGACACACACCAAGCAGCAGCTGCTTGGGAGGCCGAGCTCTCGGGCTGGTCCAGACACAGCTGCATGGGTGCTTGGTCCCTTCCCTCCCTCAGCTGTCTGCCTTGGCTGTCGTAGGACCCATGAGGGCAGGAACTCGAGCTGTCCCAACTGGGAGCTGGCTGCCAAGACGATCTGCACATGAGTGGCTCTCAGAGGACAGGCCAAGAGACACATCCCTCGCCACAGAACACCACCCCCGAGACCCCATGTGGGGGCCAGGGAAGGCTTGGTGGGGAGGTGAAGTTTTCACTTCTGGGTACGAGTCTACGCAGAGGGAAACAGGATTCACTCCTTCAGCCACGCCTTGTGAACATGGAGGTGCTACGTAAGGTTCTGAGGCGGGGACCGGCAGTGACCACGCGGAAGGTCACCCGTGTTGTAGTGAGGAAACCGCCATAAAGACAGTGAGTGGACAAAAGTACAAGGCAGTTTGGGTCCTGTGTACGGAGAGTAAGCTGGGATGCTGGGAGGGACAGGAAGGCCCTTGCGGACAAAGCTCTTGCTGCCCTGTCATTGTCTTGAGAGCTCTGTGTGGACCGGCTTGTTCATCCTCGAGCCAGTGCTGCAGGAGGCGGTGTCCTCACCTCCTTGCACAGGCGGCCGGGTCAGTGACACGCTCGCAAGCAGAGTGCTGGAGCCAGGATGTGGGCCCACACTCAAACAGGAGGGCTTGTGGCCTTTCAGGGCAGGACGGGGGAGGGAGGGGCGTGGAGAGGTGATGTATAGACGGATGGTGTGCGGCACAGGGAGGAGACGAGCTGGGCGGAGGGGTGGGCAGAGGAGGAGTGATGGGGAGATGGCGTGAGATCGATGGTGGGTGGGGGGGTGATAGGTGGGTAGGTAGGTATAGACAGATGATTGATGGATGGGTAGATAGATGATAGACAGACAGACAGACAACAGAGAGATGAGAGGATGGATAGATTGGTGGGAAGATGAGCAGATCAGATGGATGGACACACACACGACTGATGAATCCAAGATGGGTGGATGGGTAGATTGATGGGTCGGTGACGGATAGATTCAAAAGTCGAAAGTCTCTCTTGGGAGACTATATTATGTCCATGACCTAAATGGTGGGAAGGGACTGAGGAGAGCGTTTTAGGCGAAGGGCCCAGGGCATGTGCAGGGAGGCGGGGAAGCCCCCTGAATAGCCCCAGTAGAGGGTGAGACGAGCCGCCATGGAGCTGAGCCAGGGACCGGGGAAGCGGGCCGTGGAGGACGCAGGAGCCGGGTGGGCGCGTGGGCGCTTTGCTCCTTTCGGACAGTGTGCGAGGGTGGGCGTGTCCGGGTGGAGCTGGGAAGTGTCGGGCAGAGGGGCTCCGAGGGCGCAGGAGGAGTACAGCACAGGGGCGCCGAGGGCGCAGGAGGAGTACAGCTCGCCCCCAGGAGGGCGGCGCTGGCTCTGGGCTGTCGCTGCCTCACTCGGGATGGAGGTGGCGATGGCTGATCCAGCCCTGGGAAGGACGAGCTTCCAGGCCTCGCTTGCTTCTCCGGGCTCTGAGCACAAACACAGAGGCTGGGGGCCAGCAGGGCGCATCCTGGGGGCTCTGGAGCCGCCCCTGCCTCTGCGCCCTGCCTGGTGGATTGTGGCCGTCCTCCGACTGCTTTTCCCCTGGGACTGCATCCTTCCTCCCTCGTGGGAATGGAAGTGGACAGCGCAGAGACATTCGGGATAGGAGGGAGGCGCCCCGTGGCTGGGCACCGCCATCAGCTGTCACTGCCCCTCAGGCCGGCTGTGGCCACCAGCCGCAACTACCCTGGCCATGAGACCACCTGTGCGCAGGGCAGGAGACTCAGCCGCTTCCAGGGTCCGGAGCAGCGACAAGCTGAGGGCAATGGGGCCTCATGCTGGTGACCAATTCGGTGGAAGGAGACTGTGTAGGCGCAAGGGACCCAGCTCAGAAGCTGTGATCCACCCGTCCATCCCTAACATGGGTTTACAGCGAGGCTGCTACGTGCCAGGCGCAGTTCTAGGCACTACGGACACAACACTGAACAAAGTGGACGAAAGTCCCCGCGTTCCGAAGCTCATGTGTCTGTGGACAGATAACCACGGACAGGAAAGGTGAACACACAGGGTACCAGGTGGTGACTGCTGCCCAAGGAAGGCAAAGCAGAGAAGGTTGTGAGGAGGTTCTGGGAGCGTGGTTATAACTAGGAACACCAGTCTGACCTCGAATTCACAGGGATCCTCCTGCCTCAGCGTCCCAGAGCGCTGGGATTGCAGGAACCTGGCTAGTGGTTCCTTCTCGTAGAAGAGCCTGCTCATTTTGTGGTGCTGTGGCTCCCGCTGAAAGACGATGGATGTGTCCCAAGACTTCCTCAGTCGTGTGTGACACCTTCAGGAGCACAGGGACAGGGGCGCCATCACGCCTGGCAAGTTCATACGTCCGCCTTCCTCTTCATTATTTATGTATTCTGGAGCAGCCGTGTTCCTGCCCACCCAGGCTTGGAAAGGTAATAAATGAGAAAAGTCAACGGTCTGTAAATTACAACATTGATTAAAGAAGTGATTGCTGATCTCACTCTGGCTCAGCTATTATGCTAATACCTTCCCAGATCCAGGACCGTGTTTACATGCTAACGACAAGTCAGGGACCGCAGCTGAAATTGCTTTCCACCCCCAATCAGCACAGAGACATTTTTAAACTACTCTGGACCAAGAGCGAGAAGCCCATCCGTGCGTCCCCGCCCAACCGCCCCGGCCGCCGTCCCCAGCAGATGGAGCGAATTCTTGCAGTCTGGCCTCAGCAGCTGTCCCTGCAGCAGAAGCGTGAGATGGAGATGACACCGGCCCCGAATCGGCCATCCACGGGCCCAAAAGCTGGGGAACCGGGTGATCGATCACCAGAGCTCATTGTTCAGCACTCGATGTCATCTCGCTGAGGCCACAGACCCTCAGAGGGCGCCCTGCTCTGTCCAGAGCTCTCGATCTAGAAGGAGACACATAAGCAACTCAGCAATCAGAGCTTAGTGTGGAAAGTGCTACGCAAGTGACTTCGTTCGCTCTGAAACGTTCAGCTGAACTGTGTGGCTTTGCACTTCTGCAGTAGAATTAGCTCTGTGTGGGCTCTCGGAGGAGCCAGTGACCCTGAAAAGGTTATGAAGCACTGCGCGAGAGCCTGCTGGAAGCTTTCAGATTCACTGATGACGTTTCTGCCGCTGTCTCTTCTAGGTCTCACTCCCAAGCACTTGATGGCTATCTGGAAGCAGGCATCCTCATGGAGGGATCTGCTCATCTATCCATCTTTCCATTTGTTCACCTGTCTGCCCTTTCCTCCTTCCATCATCTGTCCATCTGTCCATCTGTCCACCCATCTCTCTGTCCATCAGTACACCCATCAACCCACCCACCCATCAATATGCCCATCCACCATCTGTCCATCTGTGTACCTGTGCATCTCTGCAACCCATCTTCCATCTATGGACTCTTCATCCTTCCATCCCTCCATCCATCCACCCACCCACCTACCTACCCATCCACCCATCTATCCATCCGTCAGCCCCGCCATCCACCCACCCCCCACCCACCCGTCCATCCGCTCATCTATCTGTCCATCCATCCATTCATCTAGCCACCTGTCCATCTATCTCTCCAGCCCTCCACCCTTCTGTCTGTCCATCCACCAGCCCATCCATCTATCCACCCATCCATCTATCCACCCATCCATCCACCCATCCACCCATCCATTTGTCCATCCTTACATCCCACCATCTGTCCATCCATCCATCCCTCTCTTCATCCATCTGTCTACCTACCTGTCTATCCATCTATGCATCCATCCAACCACCATCCACCCACCATCCATCCGTCCGTCTAGCCACCCACCCACCATCCATTAAATATTCACTTTGCTGAGCTCCTCCTTCATGAGCAGCTGGTATAAGGAACCAAGAGCTTTGAAGATGAACATGATGTGTTTTTTGCCTTCAAAGATGTTGCAGTTTCAGAAGTCATACAGACACCTGTGGCCAACGTAAATCACATCCCATAAACTTGGGTGTGCAAGATGGATCATATTGTCTCCCCGCTTAAGTTGGCTTCTGTTTCCAGTTTTCTGTTCATTAGGGTGACAGAAAGCGTTCTGGTGTAATTCCAGGGTGTGTAGCTGTCCCCGAGGCACTGGGAGATGGACTGATGGCCCCGTCCTCTGGTCACAGTGCCCCGGGGACACCCATCCTCAGCCACGCGCACCTGGCCTGCTCTCACTGGCACCCTCACGTCGTTTGGCCCCATCCTGCCTGCCTGCGACGGCGTCGCCCTGCTGTCTGCTCCCGGCCCAGAATGAGCACGGGCAGCACACGGGCTCTCCCTCGTGTGGACAGCAGTGCAGCACGAAAGCCGGACGCCTGCAGACATTTCCGTTTGTTTCCTGTGTGCATCTGAGTTTCCTCTGGTCTGGGTCCTCCCTTCCCTAAGGAAACAGTCCGCTAAACATGGGGGGAAGAAGGAAGGGACGGGGTGGGGAGTCGGCAGCATGACTCTGCCCTTCACACTGAACACAAAGTACGCAAAGAGGAACCACCCCAGGGAGCAGGGAGGCACAGCCTGGGCGCCCGGTCTGGGTCAGGCCAGGGGACTTCAGCCCCAGAGGCAGCCCCAGGGAAGTTCAAGCTCAGTCACCTCAAGCTGCTCTCCGCTTTCTGCCCCAGCGAGGGCAACCCTCACCCTGTGTGAGGCAGGAGCTGGCAGGTCCCCTCCCGCCTCTTGCCTCAGCTGGGCAGTTTGGGGCGCTTGGCATGAGGCCCCAGGAAACCCTGATCGGAGCAGCGGCCTCAAATGCGCCCCTTCCTGCTCGCTTCTCTCTCCTCTCGCTCAGTCTGCTCCTCGCCCCTCCCTACCGAGCTTCCAGGATCACTTCAGAACGAACCCAGCCGCACCAAACCCTTTCCCCCGGCTCCGCGCTGGGAGGAACTTGAGCTGAGCGTGGTTCTGCGCAAGGAAACACACACAAGGGCCTCGGTGGGGCTCGGGGGTGCGGTTGCCCAGCGCGGGCAAGGCCGTGGCTCCATCCCTGGCACCACAGACACAGAAAAGAAAGGGGATAAACTGAAGACTCGTGTGGGGCTCACCCCTTTGTCCCCGTCTCCGCAGGTCTCTGACCACTGTGACTACGTCTTTGTCAACGGCAAAGAGATAAAGGGCAAGATGGACGCGGTGGTGAATTTCACGTACCAGTACCTGAGCGCCCTGCTGCACGTCACCGTGTGGGTCCCCCGGCTGCCCCTGCAGGTCGACGTCTCTGACACGGAGCTCAGCCAGATTAAGGGGTGGCGGGTCCCCATCGTGGCCAGCAAGAGGTGAGCCAGGGTGGGACCGTGCCCTGGGGCCGCGACAGCAACCTGACCTCCGCAGTGACGGCGCCGTAAGGGTCAGCACTAGCGGGTCCCCACGTTCTTGTTCTCTCCCATCCCTGGTCCTCGCAGCAGTTTCTAGAGGCGCCAGGACCCGGGCAGGCCACCCGCCCTGCAGCAGGTCCCCCAGGTCCAGGCCAGCCAGCCCGCGGGCCAGGCCGTCTCCCGAGCGGGTCTCTCGAATGGCAAGACGGGAGAATCCAGTTTTCTTGGGTTTCATCATTTTCTACCTAAAACATCAGGGCTCCGCGTGTGCCTTGTGGAGTCTGTCAGCTGGATCTGCTTTCTGCAGGCCAAATTATGCGATGAAATTTAATTGCATTTATGCTGGAACATGGGTTACCATTTGTAAAAAAAAAA